CGCCGGAGATTCTGACAACCTTCGTCGACGCCGCCTCGCCCTCCGCTGCTCCCGATGGCTGTCACCATGAATGAGGACCTGCGCCGGGAGCGGGCCTCCGCCACCTTCAACCCCGAGCTGCTCACGCACATCCTGGACGGCAGCCCGGAGAACACCCGGCGACGCCGAGAGATCGGTGAGGGCTGCGGGCCAGGCCTCCCTCCGTACAGTGTGGGGGTGCTGTAGGACGTAGGCTCTGGCCCAGCTTTGGGGGGAGCCGGGACCCCCGCTTCCGGGGGCGGCTTGTCGCGGGGGAGGATCGCCTATCCGCAGAGGGGACCTGGGCCGTGACTCTGAAACCAGCTGGGATTCAGGGCGGTGTAACGGAGCCCAGCATGCCTGTCTTCGTCTCGATGCCCTTTAATCCCTTGCAGAGAACCTGATTCTGAACGACCCAGACTTCAAGCATGAGGACTTGAACTTCCTCACTTGCAGCCAGCGGTACAAGGTGGCTGTTAGGAAGAGGGCCACCTTGGTGAAGAAGATAAGGGAGTTTGGCATCTCAGACCCTGATGAAATCATGTGGTTTAAAAAGTAGGTATGCCCTCGCGCAGATCCCGTTTTCATTGCAAAAGCCCACACTTGACCTCCGCGGTCTGCGGGTGCGTTTTCCTCGGCTTGTCTGAAAGTTGTGTGTGTGGAAGAGAATGTTTACCTTTGCACCTACGCCCTTTAGGGAATGGCACCGTGGAATGCTGATAACCAAGTGGTGACCCTGCAGTTTTCATTCTCGGGAATCGTACAGATTCTTTCCGCCCGGAGCCTCAGTTTGAGTGATTCCGGTTCAAAATGCCCTCGCTCTTGGTGGGAAGGAGGCTTGCCGCATTTAGGTGCTGGATTCCGGGGGAATTGTCAGTTGTGAGCCCAAACATTTAAGTATTTCGTAGCAATAACATATTTTTCTAGGGTAGAGTAGAACTTGAGCTTCAAATAATGGAGAACGGGATGGATGAAGAACATTAGTAAAACCTCAGAATGAATATAAAGGGCCCTAAGGAGGCGGCATTGTGGAATCTGGTGTTAGTGTTAAACGTTCTCTGGTGCATATGAGGCCTCATAAAAACACCCGGAGGTCCCAGCGCTGAGCAGGGTACCTTTTTTCAGACCATCTGTGTTTTGTTGTTGTATTTTGTTTTTTAATTGGAAAAAATGCTCTTTGTTTTTGCCTTTATCTAAGCAAATACTCTATAATTACATGATCTTATTAATACCAGATTCCCTTTGGCCTGGAGCACCCCTTACACTTCTCACTTATTCCTGGGCATTTCCTCTTTTAGGTTTCTGTATTTTAGAAGAACTTCAATATTTTCATCAATAAAGATTAAATATGATGAATAGTGTATATTCAAAAGCCAAGAAAAAAATGAAACATGTTAAAAGTTTTGCCTTTATGTAGTAATAGTCATTTCTCCCATAATACTGCCTGTAGTTCATTTGGTATCTAATATTTTTCTAAATTTTTTTTTTTTTAAGAGGAAGGGAGAGGGAGAGAGAGAGAGAAACATCAATAATGAGAGAGACTCTGATTGGCTGCCTCCTGCACGCCCCCCCCAACCCCCCGACTGGGGATCGAGCCCACAACCGGAGCATGTGCCCTTACCTGGAATCGAACCATGACCTCCTGGTTCATAGGTTGATGCTCAACCACTGAGCCACACCGACTGGGCTGGTATCTAATTACTGACTTTACCTCGCTATTATTGTCAGTGTGAAATAATTTACTGTGGCCCCTAGCACTACCCTCAGAATTCCTTTCCATTTTGTTATAAAAATACAATTAATTTACTTTTGGTAGCCCCAGTGAAGAGTACTTACTCCCAAATGCTCTTTTGTTCTTGTTAAAGTTTGTAGCTCATGGCTGGGGGGGATATTGAGGTGGAACAGTGATTTTCAACCTTTTCCATCTCATGGCACGCATTAACTCATCACTAAAATTCTGTGGCACAACAAAAAATGTTATATTTTTTGCTAATCTGAAAAAAAAAAGGTATAATTTTGATTCATTTACACCAGACGGCTATTGTTGTGTTGGCTATTGTCATTTTTATTTTTTTATTTGACAAGAGAAAAGTCAGTGCTCCTGACTAAGTGGTCAGATATTATATTTTTTGTTTTAGAGAACTTTTAAATTTTTCTTTATTTCTTTTATTGATTTTAGGGGGAGAGAGAGAAACATTGATTTGTTCTACTTATTAATGCATTTATTGGTGATTTTGTATGTGGCCTGACTGGAAGTCAAACCCAAAATCTTGGCATGTCAGAACAGTGCTCTAACCAGCTGAGCTACCTGGCCAGAGCTGGTATCGCATGTTTTAAAAACCCTTGGGACACACCAGTGCGCCTCTTGCCGCACCCCTGCTGAACATCACAGGTAGAGCAACTCCCTAGAAGATTATGTTTCTGAGTTACCCAACATGGGTTTGTAAACCTTAAAATATTACTAAGATTTTATTATTCCTTAAGATAACACAAAAACAGAGGTTTATTTTGTTCTGCTTTTAAACGGTTGATGCAATGTAGTTCAGAGTTGGTTAGACGATTTCATCATCTGTGATGGTAACCAGACTCAAGTGAAGTCATGAGGAAATAGGACAGAGTCCTTTATGTGGGTTAAAGATTAATGGACAACAGGCAGTTTGGTATTATTCTTCCTGACGTAGACCTTGCTGTTTGGGGATTAAAGGACAAACTTTAACAGGCCCTTTGACATCCTTCCAATATCCATAGGATATGACAGGGAGATCAATATGTTAGTGAAGGGGATTGAAAAGTAATTTGGGCAAGTAGTGAATGCCAAGTCTTAAGCCTCCTTTGAATGTAACTGACACCCACGTCTTAGATAACTAAGCCAGGTAGCTATGACATGGCTTAAATTGTGAGACACATCACATTTCTTAAATGCTAAAATGGGGGTGGGGCGTGCTAGAATTGATGGAAAACTAGAGTATTTCTCTTTCTGGGGATTTTGGGCATTTACTGGTCTCTTTTACATCCACTTCTATTAAAATACAATTCACTTTTGAAGGTGACGGACTATTAGTAAAACAACTTTGAAATTTCTCAACTTGAGCAACAAAAGAATTTTTCAGTCTTTGAGAAAATAAGACCTTGCTGTTGGGGGGATATAAATGCTGTTTTTCTAATCCCCTTTCCTGTCATTTTGTCTGTTAACTAGACTATTTGCTGTGAAAAAACTAAGTGTTCTTAAGAGATTTAAAATTCTAATGAGAATCAGCCATGGATTTTGTTACCTTTTTTAGGTTTTTATTTATTTTTTATTGATTTTGAGAGAGAGAGAAACATCGATTCGTTGCTGCACTTATTTATGTCTCATTGGTTGCTGCTTGATGTGCCCTGACCAGGGATTGACTTGTAACCTTGGCGTAGCAGGGCCACGCTCTAACCAACTGAGCCACCTGGCGGGGCCCTTAGGTTTTTAAAGCCGGTTCCTGGGAAGCATCTTCAGGAGAAATTAAACATAACTTAAAACCAGCACTCAGCCCTGACTGGTTTTCTCAGTGGTTAGAGCGTCAGCCTTTGGACTGAAGGGTCTTGGGTTCGATTCCTAGTCAAGGGCACATACCTTGGTTGCAGACTTGATCCCGGCAACCAATCAATATGTGTCTCTCTCATCGATGTTTCTCTTTCTCTCCCCCACCCCCGCCTCCCCTCCATTCTCTCTAAAAAAAATCAATGGAAAGAATATCCTTGGGTGAGGATTAAAAAGACAAGCACTCAGATTTTGTTCTTAAGTTGATTTTCTCTCTTTTTTTTAAAAAAAAAAATTTTTTTTTTACTGATTTCAGAGAGGAAGGGAGAGATAGAAACATCAATGATGAAAGAGAATCATTGATTGGCTGCCTCCTGGGGATCAAGCCTGCAACCCGGGCATGTGCCCTGACTGGGAATCAAACCGCTGACCTCCTGGTTCATAGGTGGACACTCGGCCACTGAGCCACGTTGGTCGGGCATTAAGTTGGTTTTCAAGGGGCCTCCAAAAACCCCACACAGCTCAGTCTGTTACTAAGAACATAAATATCTGGCAGTCTATTTCGTGTCACATGTTTTCCCCCTCAGTTTCCTAGAATTTTGTGTGTGCCATTGTCATCATTTTATAAGCCCACAGCCTCAGTTCCCTCTTGAAAGTAGGAGTGTCTGTTTTTGGCACCATGTTTAGCACCTACGTGACTGCTTGTATTTCTCAGAAATCTCCTAGGCTCACTTCCTCGTTTGGTAAGACACTCGTTAGGGAGTGCTCTGATTCTCTTGCCTTTGAGAATGACTTCTACACTCAACTGTGTATTGGCCTCGGCTCCTAGTCAGTGAGGTGGGGTGTGTTTGTGAAGTGTGATACTTCCCTCCGGGGCAGCAGTAAAGTGCTGCTAACCCGAGTTACTGGGAAAGCAGCTCCCCTCTCCTGTTCACACTCCTCCTTCCCCTCTCTCCCTCTCAGTTTCAATAACAGTTGATATTGCTGTAAAAATCAGAGACCGTGAAAAAAATAAATAAGTAAAAATCAGAGACCGTGGGAGATGGCTAGTAAAGGTGTTCCTTGGGTGTGTGAGTCTGTCCCAGCACCTCTGCAGGGTGATCTTCCCCCCGAAAGATGGTGGGGTGATTTCAGGGCCTCTGCAGAAGTGAAAAGGGGCAGCCTACCCTCCTGTCCCTTCATTCGTGCTCTGCCTGTACAGACCAGGACACTGGTGGCAACACCACCTCCTCTTCAGCCCTTGAGAAGTCATGAACATCAGTTGTTTATTTTGTACTTCAGGCTCT